AGGACTCATCTGGCTCCAACTCCTTTTCACGCCCAAAGCTGCTGCTCTGACTGTGCTCACACTTACCCACCTCTCCCCGCCAAACGTTTCCTGCCTCTGCTCTGGGTCCAGGGCTGCCCTGCACTCCCCCTTCCTACAGCACACCTGGTCCATCTTGCCTCCCCTAACTATTGCTCCTTGTGTTCGCTCACCTCCTCCTCCTCCTGAACACTTGCCCCTGTATCTCCTCACCCTCATCACCCCTGCAAAGGAAGTCGCTGTTAGGGAGAAATGAGTAGCGTGAAGAAGTTTGCGAGGGAGAATATTCTCATCTCTAGGGTGGTGCCAGCTCCCTGCCTCCCTGATCTGACCCTGTGGTCAGGAGTTTTCTGAGGTTCACGTGGGACTTTTTCTAGCTGCCCAGGCCTCCGTGGCCTCAGCAGACCTCTGTCCTTCTTCCTTCCAGAACATACAACAGACCTGGGTTTTCCTCGAAGTACCTTGCTGTCCTCCTCCTGCCAGTACACTATGGTGCCGCTGGGAGGACTTCCCGGCCACCGAGCCCACGGGCAGCCCTACCTCAGCGGCACCAATGGACGGGCCTGTGCCAATGGGGGGCATGTGAACAGGGGCTGCCCTGCGCCTGCCATGGGCCACCCAGGCGTGAAGCCTCCGCAGCACTGTCCCGGGGCACGGCCGCAGGTAACGCATCCTGGGTGCGGGCGAGCAGGTGCGGCTGTCCTGGAGGGGAGGCTGGGCGCCTCCTGAGGCTGCCTCCCTGCCGGCCTCCAAGCCTGGACTGCGGGCCAGGCTTCCTTCATCAGGAACAGCTCATCCTGCTAGAGGATGCACGGGAACGTGTCCTGGACGCCGACATGACCTTGCCATTCCTCTTCCCTTTGAGCAGCAGGATGACACCAACCACCTCCGGAGGCAGACCGCTCCTGGCGATGGACATGCCGTCCACAGTGCCCCGCCTCCCAGGTAACAGGCCCTCCCACCCCTGCCGTCTGTCTCCAGTCCCAGAGCTCTCTCCCTTTAGGCCCTCAGGTTCAGCACCAGCCACGGAGAGGTGGGGCCAGCTTCGCAGAATTCCTCAACCTACTCATTTCTTCTCGACCAGGGATGGCGAAACTTTTGAGCTCGGCGTGTCAGCATTTTGAAAAACCCTAACTTAACTCTGGTGCCGTGTCACATATAGAAATTTTTTGATATTTGCAACCATAGTAAAACAAAGACTTATATTTTTGATATTTATTTTATATATTGAAATGCCATTTAACAAAGAAAAATCAACCAAAAAAATGAGTTCGCATTTCACTTCTGACACGCGTGTCATAGGTTCGCCGTCACTGTTCTAGACTAGGGGGTCCCCGCATCTGACAGCCTGCTCCACTGGTCTCCCCCCACGAGGGGTAGTGTTTGCAGTTACGAAGCCCTTTCTGCTCTGGAGCACGGGTCAGCCGCTCAGAATCTGCCCCCCACCTGGCAGGCTGCGGAGCCAGGCACTGCTGGCTTTGCCCAAATGCCCCTGACTCCACATTTTCTAATACACTTAGGACTTGCATGGAATACAATGGAGAGAGGCCAGAATTACCTGTGGAAATGGTGTGGCACCTCTCGATGTTCATAAGGGAGCCGTCCCCGCCCGTCTGGGCCCTTTCCCCTCTGGTGTTCTCCACAGGGAAGCAGCCGGCGGTGAGGACGTGGGCCCACCCTTCCCACCCCTCACTCCCATTTGGTCTCGTGCACCCAGGGGAGCCAAGGCCAACCCAGACGAGGCCTCTTTCCTGTACACACTGCCTGGTGCCTCAACGCACCAGCGGCTGCAGACCCACCAGGACCGCCACCCCCTCCAGGAGCAGCCTGCCCCAGCCAGCCAGTCCGGGATGAGGCGAGGACCCCAGAATCCGGGGCTGGAAGCGACATGGGACCCTCTTTTTCACCCAGGTTTGTGCCAGGGGCAGGGCAGGAAATTAAAGAGGCTGGAGATAACATGAGGTAGGAACCCACAACCCAGGAGTGACTTGGAGGAGGGGGTGCTGGGGAGAAGTCGTTGAAGGTGGTGCTTGGTAGGGAGCTGTCCGTGCTTTAATCAGGAGAGACGGGGGAAGGACAGGTGCTGGCCACCGTCCCTTCTGCCCAAAGGCCTAGCTGATGTGCAGGGGCTTACCGGTCGGGTCCTTCTCTACCATCACATGCCTCATCCTCAAAGGCTGAGGAAAAGGACACCATCCCATTTCAGAGAAAGACATTTTTTTGGTCTCTGCATTAAGGCCATTCACAAATTCCTACTGCCTCTCATAATAAGAGGCGCTCTCTAATCACGCCAAAATACCTTGCTTTGTTGGGTCTTGTCTCTTAATTAAGGACTAAGGTTACATCAATCATTAGGGAGCCAAGTTCTCACAACCATCAGAACTCTCTGTGCTTCCACAGAACTTTTCTCCGTGGGGCTCAGTGCACACGAGCCCCTCCCTCTGTCTTCCCTGGGCCAGTGCCTTGGAAATCAGTGGATTCTTGGGTGGGTGCCGGATGCTGCAGAGGCTTGGGTCATGTTTCTTAGCCTCCGTGGTGTGGCTGTAGGTCCACGTGCAGACCCTCAATCCTGCCTCTGGGAGATGGAATTCACCTCCTAGAGCCAGGCCCGGCACCACTGACACTGGATGGGCTCCCCTGGGGGAATGGACTGTGTGTGGGGTGATCAAGACCAGAAATCGCCTTGTCATGGCTGTAGGTTTCTCTCTCCTTCTGGACAAGTGTGACCAGTGCCTCTGAGTGCTACTTCCTGGACAGTCAGGATGTTAATGTTTCCATTCTCTCTCCCCGCAGGGCCCCCGTGCTGCTTGGGCCTGGCACCGGTTGAAGAAGTGGACAGTCCTGACACTTGCCAAATGGGTGGAGGAGAGTGGTGCCCCCAGCACCCCACGGGGACCCACGGAGGACAGGAGCCCGGGAGGCAGCTCTCCCCCAGCCCACCAGTGCACATATCTTTTGAAACACCACCCCCCATCGTTTAGGCAGAAGCCAGTATTCCAGAAAGACTATTATCGTTTTTAAAGAGACAGAGGAAATTGGTATTTATTTTTCTATAATAGCCATATTTATATATTTATGCACTTGTAAATAAATGTATATGTGTTGTTATAATTCTGGAAAGACATAGGGACTCCTACCCATGGAGGTATGAGAGGTTAAACAAAGAAGCCACCACATACCAGGAGTAAACCAGGAAAGAGGAACACGGACTGGCCAGCACCCAGAGTGCGGAGGCGGCTCAGAACCTCTGCCCCTGCCCGGGAGGCTGCAGAGTCCCAGAGAGCAGCTGCCCGAGAGAAGACTCCCGCTCACTGTGCGTGAGGAGCGCGCGGGTAACGCAGAGGCCAGGGGCGCACAGGCTGCAGACACCTGTGAAGACGGCCAGCTCTGGTGCTACAGGCAAGGTCTCCAGAAGACGCCCGTGAGAACAGACTCAGATGTGTATAGTACTATAAGCATTAACAGACCTTCCAGAATCAATAATCTGCGGCAACATTGCTCTGTAAAAACAAACACTGTAACTTCTAAATAAATGTTTAGTCTTCCCTGTAACCTTCAGCTTAGTCATGCGTGAGTCAGCGTTTTCCTTAGATGTTAGGATTCAGTCTTTGAGTATCTGAAGAAAATACCCACTTGTGATGTTTTCAGATCAGGAGATGAGATCTGGAAAAGATAGATGTCTCTAATGTTTTTGTCTGTAAATACGGAATGTCGGTTGTGCTTTTATTAACGTGGGATGCATTAGTAACTGCTGAGTCCAAGAGGGAGACAGTGTACAGGAGGCAAGGAGAAGCAGTCAGTTCTCCTCCTGACTGGACTGAAGGTAAAACTCCAGTCAGGTCAAGGAATGAAACTAATCATTTCGGTAGAGGTCTGTGTGTGCTGAAGACCAAGTATTTAAGAGTTATGCTACACATGTGGTGCCTGATACATTCACTTCCCTTCTTTCCAAAGACACACCAACATTGCCAGAGGAGCTGACTCGCCGCTTGTTTAAAATCCACGTTTACTTACTGCTTGCTGCCCATCCACAGGATCCTTATACCCGGGACTAGATGGAGGCTGAAGCCTGCAAGGCCTCTTCTCAATCTCAGTAGAGTTGAGTTACAGATGAAATGCCTCTTGAGACACACAATCTCATTAAGAGGCATCTGGCCGAACCGTGGCTTCTCACTCTTGTCCTGATTTTGATGAGCAAGATGGTAGGAAAGCCCCAGGACTGATGGCAGTCTAGGACAAGTGCTCCCTCTGCTGGCCAAAAGCAGTAGCGGGCCAGCTGGTAGATTGTTACCCCCTTTTTCCAGCCAAAGCTAAATTGGAAAAACTCATCAAGATGCAACCTGACTTTCAGAAAAGTAGAATTTTAAAAAAATTTTAAGGAAAAAAGTGAAGGACTATGAGCAACATGCAAATGATAGGCAAGGAGAAGTTAGCCAAAGCTAAATTGGAAAAACTCATCAAGATGCAACATGACTTTCAGAAAAGTAGAATTTTTAAAAAAAAAATTTAAGAAAGAAAGTGAAGGACTATAAGCAACATGCAAATGATAGGCAAGGAGAAGTCGAACAGGTAAGAGAAATAAGATGTGACTTCAGACTCAACCTGGGTGAGGGCCTGGGCCAATGCTCCCAATCTTCATTTAGCTAATCCATGGGGCCCTCAAATCCAGGCTGCAACTCACCTTCTAGCCCACTGGCTTTAAACAGCAACAGAAAAGGGACCAGCTGACACTCTCAATGCTAGCTTTTCTTGCCAATGGCTAAAAATTCAGATAAAACAAACACAAACACAAATTTCCTAAAACGGGACATATGAAAGATGCTTTCTTAGTATGAGACACAGCCTTCTGAGACTTCATATTCAATCCAGTTGGTTCCAAACAAATCTGAAATGGCTCAGCTCAATGACAGATGTTGGGCACTACCTGGCTGGATCTCGTTTTAGACTTTTAGGTCCATTCACTTCGAAATAACAGATTGCTGCAGGAGACAACTTCTGGGGAAATTTATGTCAGAAATCTTGGGTGGATTTGAGACAAAAAAAAAAAGTATAAGGCACAGGGGCTTCATCTGTTCTCCGGTGGGAACTTAATGGGTGGGAGGATAATGCCGCCTTTCTTACGCAAAAGAGCAATCTCTTGCTTTAAGGCCAAAATCCTTTCCGCCTGGAGTTGGATCAGCTGAGTGACCTTCTCTCTTGCCACAATATCTGCTCTCCGAGGGCCCTGGAAGGCATTGCCCTGTTGAAAGAAATCATCTCCTTACTTGAAGCATCATGTTGGATGAGAAAACGTCTGTTCTTATATATTCTTATATGTTCTTATATGGGAGTGCCTGCCTTAATCCATTTAAACAGCCATTGCTCCTTCCTTTAAGTGGCCTGCATTCGTCCACTGAAATCCCACCATTAGAAATGTGTTCCTTTGCACTAACAAACAACTCTTAAAATGCAAATATCCTTTAGATGGGTAAGCCGCCACTCATACCTTGGAGGGCTTATCACTGGAATCATAAAAGACAAGGTGCCTCCTTTTTCTATACAGCTCATCATCATATTTTATTTTCTGAAAAGAAAATCATCTTTATGTCCTGCCCTAGCCAGTTTGGCTCAGTGGATAGAGCATTGCCCTGCAGACTGAAGGATCCCGGGTTCAATTCCAGTCAAGGGCACTTAACCTCGGTTGCAGGCTCGATTCCTGGCCCTGGTCAGGGCAAGTGTGGGAGGCAACCAATCAATGTGTTTCTCTCATATGGATGTGTCTCTCTCACATTCATGTTTCTCTCCCCCAGCCTCCCTTCCACTCTCTCAAAATCAATGGAAAAATATCCTCGGGTGAGGATTAACAACAACCAAAAGTCATCTGAATATCCTTATCTGATTTCAGCCCCTGTCCAGCCAACTCCTGCTCAAGCTCCAGACCTCACTTTCAGGGAGGCCTTCTTTGCCCCATGGACTAGACTAGGGTCTCCTGCTCTGTGTTCTATCAAAACAGCCACCACCCTGTGTCACTGGAATCATCAGAGTGCACCATTTAAAATGTATAACATTTGACCACTTTTTAACCTAAAGAAAGTGGCAATTTATTATGGTTCAACCTAAATGTTTTATATATTTCTTGTGAGATCCTGGATCTCACCACTGTACCCAGCACTCACCCTAGAACTTGTTACCTAAGTAGATGCTCAATAAAATTTGAACATGAGCTAAAGGGCAGGACATTACCACCCAGCTAGTCTGCACTCTCTGCCAGGTGCTTCATTGAATCCTCACAACAACTGTGAATTTGATGGTGGTGGTCTAGTTTTACAGAAACTGGGACAGAGATGCATGAACTGGCCCAAGCGATTATATTATTAAGGACCGGAAGCACGGTTACAACCAGGTTACCTGAAGCCAAAAGCCCATGATTTGTCCGTTACCCTCACTTACGATGGCAGACCTTCCTAGCAAATAGGGGTTATCATTACCCAATAGCTCCTCTCTTGCCTGCCTTCACTGTAGAGGCTATGAAAGCTAAACACATCACCCAGTTTCTCCTCCAGCTAGGGTTGGCTGAGTGAATATAAGCAGAAAACTGGTGCTTCCTTGTGAAGGCACAGAAGTGGCTGGCATGTGGATGTGAAACATGGACCTGACGCAGCTGTTTTGTGACTCTGAGGAGAACTTCCAAGAATCAGAGAGAATCACAGAGATGCTGGCCCCTGATATCACAGACCCACTAAATCAAACCCCTTAAGTCATCTCTAGACTTCTCGTTCAGTGAAAAACAATGAGCCTTATTTGTTTAAGCTACTTTCAATGGGGCTTTTGGTTACTGGCAGCTAAATGCTTGTACCAACTCACCAGTCATTCCAGGCATCATTTTAAAGGCACCTTAATTTTCCCTCATCCTCCTCACCATATCCAAAAAGTTTTTGACTAACCTTACTTGGGAATTTCTTTTGAGACTAGCTAGCTTCTCACCATCTACATCCCAATGCAGAACAATTGAGTCAGCTTTGGAGGTAGACAGACCTCGTTTTAAAAACTCACTTCCTGTGCATTAGCTCTGAGAGCTGAAGCAAGTTACTCCCTACTCTGAGCTTTAGGAAGTAGTGTTTTGAAGATTAAATGAGATATCCTTTGAAAAGAGACTGCACATGTCAAGATATACTGTAAAGATACACTCTGTAAAGACATATACGATTAATTTTCCCATCCAACTGATCTACCTCCAAACTCTTTCCAATGTATCTGGACTTGTCAAAGCACTTCAAGTCAACAAATGTTTACTGACTGCTCACTCTGTGATTTTATTTGGGTGTCAACCCTCTCGAACACTGCCTTGATTCTCCCCTCAGAAACTCTTCAGTGCAGTGATGGCAAACCTATGACACACGTGTCAGAGGTGACACGCAAACTCATTTTTTTGGTTGATTTTTCTTTGTTAAATGCCATTTAAAGATATAAAATCAATATCAAAAACATAAATCTTTGTTTTACTATGGTTGCAAATATCAAAAAAAAATTCTATATGTGACGCAGCACCAGAGTTAAGTTAGGGTTTTTCAAAATGCTGACACGCTGAGCTCAAAAGGTTCGCCATCACTGCTTTAGTGAATAAAGGGCCCTCGGTATTCTGATTCTAAGCTTCCTCTCAAATCTAATGTCCACTTTAAAGCTTTCCAAATTCTCTTATTCTTTCTCCATGGAATAAACCATATTCTTTCCTCCTTTTGGACTTGGGCTTAGACCAGAGATCTCAAACTCAAACATGCATCAGAGTCACCGGAAGGCTTGTTCATGTGGTTTGATGTCAGGACTCCCCCAGGCCCCCAGCTTCTGACTCAGTAGATCTGGGTTATTTCTAACAACCTCCCAGGTGATGCTGATGCTTTCCTCAGGGGACACACTCGGAGAACTCCTGGCTGAGACCACTGCCAGGTGCTTAAAGAAAACCAAGAGAAACAATAGGCAGTTTTGCAAAACCTATTGCAAGAACATGAGCTATAGTTCATTCAGAATAGGTGTTGGGTTCCTGGAGGGCAAGACTTGAAGGATGAATTTCATTAAATAAGTAGTATCCATCACATATTAAGGAACACAATGTTAGGCTCAGTAAATATTATAAAGAGCCATTTGAAAGCCCTAAGAAGGAACAAGTGCTTTAGTGAGGCAACACGTGAGAGCCCACAAGTCAAGACACCCACTTTAGGTCAAATGGAAGGAGCAGATATTGGAAATGGATGTTAGGCACCAAATTCGGGTAGTGTATTAGTACTATTTATACCTAACTAGCCTTATCTCTCCAGGGCCAAGGCAAACCCCATAGATTAGCATTTATGTAAGTTCATGGCCCCAAGATGCACATGATGAAGTTAGTTTCTCGGGCTCCCTGTGATGGGGCCAGTGTCACATTGGTGTTCTCAGGGACCGGGCTGAGGCGAGAAGCGAGCTACTAGTAAGATCAAGGTTTGCTGAAATGCCAGCACTGAAATTCCCACGAACACTACCGCTACTGAACTTCCCCATGCAACAGAGGGTCTGAAGGAAAGCAGCATACCTGCTGGTTCTGGAGCGTGTTCAACCGAGAATCAAGCTTCTTCTTTTCAATACATAGATCGTTCATCTGGTGGAGCTTTTTGGTGTGTTCTTTCGTTTTCATCATCAGTTCCCAGCGCACTTGAGCAATCTTTTCCTACCAGGTCAGGAAGATGCAGAATGGGTGACATGAATAAGAGGAAATAGAGAAAAATGAATGTGCAGATTTGATCAAAGCCATCAGGCAAATGAAGTGATGTGCACATGGAAAAATATAACCAGAAGTCAGTATGAAAATGCAGCCAGAAGCAACTGTATGGAGTCTAGTCTGATTACAGAAAAGATAAGAAGACTGTAAGTATGATCAAAGACAAAAGTAGGCAAAATAAGACAGACATCGATATCACTCCATTGTTGAGAAATGAATTAGTATGCAGACTGAGTGCTGGTATTAACTAGTTAAAAGGGAGAACGGTAATTTAAGCAGAAAACTTTTAGATGTTGCTCTTTCCCCAGTCTTGGCCCAGGATCCCCCAAGTCTCTGAATGGCCATACATCTGCTAGTGGCTTTCCTTGTTCTCTTAGTGCTCCAATAAATTATGTTAGATTGCACATATCCTGTCTAGCATTCCCCTCATGGAGACCAATCCTATCACATGAGCACCTCAACCATTTACTTCTTTACAGCACAGTGGCAAATCTTGGATAAAAAAAGTTTAAGACAAGAGAGCACTGGCAACCTCTCCACCTCCCCTATCTACTGATGAAATTCGACAGTAAACTGAAGAAGTCATAATGACTTGTAGGCTATGAAATTGCCATAAAAGCTCCTGTCTTTGAATGAGGCTATACCTGGACACCACACCACCTCATGCTCTAGGAATGACATAGGCATGGACATCTTCTAAGGCCCTGCCAGCTAACTAGTCTGCATCGTGTTATAAAATTTGTTACTCAGAGTTTAATAATTTCCAAATTGTAACAGCATTTAAATGCTATATAGAATAACACAATTAGGATCCTCAGAGTATAGCCTTTCAGTTTCTAACACTGTTAGAGCATTTATACATGAATGTTGACCTCAAAATGAAGCCTTTCTGTAATCTTGCCATTTTGCCATCATGTTTACATGCACCCTGGACCCCAAATGCCAGTGCTGGTGCCTTCATCCCAAGGTAGACTAGTCCCCAAGTGAACGGTAAGAAAGCGGAGATAGGCTTAAGGTCAGAAGCTCCCACTGGGGATCGAGCCCACAACCCGGGCATATGTGCTGACCAGGAATCAAACTGTGACCTCCTGGTGCACAGGTCAATGCTCAACCACTGAGCTATGCCGGCCAGGCCAAAGTTACACTTATACATATTCTTCTTCGGGTTTGCATTTTCTTATTTTAACAGTATAATATATTAATTGGTAGTTTAAATTTTTCTTTTTCAGAACTTTGAATGAAAGCCAGTAAGCAAGGACACCAACTGTGCATACACTGTTAAGGCCCTTGGCCTTAGTGGCTTCACTTCCTGGAACAGACTACAAATCATTGGAACTAAACACAGATATTGCCTCAGAGACAAGATAAAAATCACAGGTCATTGGAGCTGAAAGTGACCATAGAAGCCACTATGTCTAACCCCTCATTTTATAAAAGAGGAACCTGAGACAAAGAAAGGTTGAGGGACTTGCTTGGGACCCAAGATGACTACAGAAAAGCTTAGTCTGAGAGTTAATGCAACACGCCATCCACCACCCACTCTGTAAGGACAAATTCTGTTCATGGGTCCATTTCTATCAAAGAAGAGCTTTGAAACTACTGAAACAAGAGGTTACAATCAATTCAAAATACATATTATTGATAGATTTTTGCCTCCAAACATGAGAATTAGAAGACATAAATGGAGAAACCAAGATGGCGGCATAGGTAAACACCGGAGATTGCTGCCTCACACAACCACTTCAAAAATACAACTAAAAGACAGAATGGACATCATCCAGAACCACAGGAAGGCTGGCTGAGTGGAAATTCTACAACTAGAAGGAAAGAGAAAAGCATACCGAGACTCAGAGGAGGTGCTGTGCGGATGTAAAATACAAAGGTGTGGAGGTGCATGCGGAGAGGGCTGGCGGCTGAGGTCACGATTGTCTTTTTCAATAGGGAGGGAGTCTCAGGCTCTGAGCTCCAGTTCCGGGCGAGTCTCTGGGGACCCAGACTCATACGGGAGAAACGGGACTGTCTGGCATCGGTCGGAACTTGAGGGCAGCTTTCTCTCAGAGGCACACGCAGCGATTGCCGAGTCCTCTGAGGACAGGACTGAGAGCAGCCATACTGCTCGCTCAGCCCATCCTGTTGATCCCCTGGGACCCCGCCCCGCCCAAGCCGTGCACGGAGGCTTTTGCATATGAAAGGAACGGACATCACCCAGAACCACAGGAAGGCTGGCTGAGGAGAGACTCTTCAACTAGAAGGAAAAATAACAGCACACCGAGGCTCAGAGGAGGCGCAGTGTGGAAAATACTCAGGTGCGGAGGTGCGCGCGCAAAGCTGGCTGGTGGCTGAGAGCGCGGTTGTCGTTTTTCGGTCAGGGGGGAGTCTCAGACTCTGAGCTCCAGACCCGGCGAGTCTCTAGGGACTCAGACTCAAACGGGAGAAGCGGGATTGTCTAGCATCAGTTGGAACGTGAGGGCGGCTTTCACTCCGAGGATTGCAGCAGTTGCTGGGGTTCTGAGAAGCAGAGCCTCTGGGAACGGGACTGAGGGCAGCCATAACCGCTCCCTCCACCCGCCCTGTTGATCCCGCCCCGCCCAAGCCCTGCGCAGAGCCATTTGCCAGATCGCCTCAGGCAAAGGCTAGATTAGCACCTCCCCAGAGGACAGAAGTTTTCCGCGGCAGACACAGCTGATTCACACAGCCAGTCGGCCTGGTGGTCAAATCCCTCTAGTATTAACTACAACAATCAAGGCTCAACTAGAACAAGACTGCGCACAAAGACCACTAGGGGGTGCACCAAGAAAGCATAAAAAATGCGGAGACAAAAAAACATGACAGAAATGGAGGATATAGAGCTAAAAAACGCAATTTTGAGGGCTTGCAAAAATGTGCTAGAAGCTGCCAATAAACTTGAGGAGAGACTCACGAAAACTAATGAGACCCTCGGTGCTATGATAAAGAACCAACTAGAAATTAAGCATACACGGACTGAAATAAAGAATATTATACCCAATAGCAGACCAGAGGAGCGCAAGAATCAAGTCAAAGATTTGAAATGTGAAGAAGCAAAAAACACCCAGCCAGAAAAGCAAAATGAAAAAAGAATCCGAAAATACGAAGATAGTGTAAGGAGCCTCTGGGACAGCTTCAAGCGTACCAACATCCGAATTATAGGGGTGCCAGAAGAAGAGAGAGAGCAAGATATTGAAAACCTATTTGAAGAAATAATGACAGAAAACTTCCCCTACCTGGTGAAAGAAATAGACTTCCAAGTCCAGGAAGCGCAGAGAACCCCAAACAAAAGGAATCCAAAGAGGACCACACCAAGACACATCATAATTAAAATGCCAAGAGCAAAAGACAAAGAGAGAATCTTAAAAGCAGCAAGAGAAAAAAAGTCAGTTACCTATAAGGGAGTACCCATACGACTGTCAGCTGATTTCTCAACAGAAACTTTGCAGGCCAGAAGGGAGTGGCAAGAAATATTCAAAGTGATGAATAGCAAGAACCTACAACCAAGATTACTTTATCCAGCAAAGCTATCATTCAGAATTGAAGGTCAGATAAAGAGCTTCACAGATAAGGAAAAGCTAAAGGAGTTCATCACCACCAAACCAGTATTATATGAAATGCTGAAAGGTATCCTTTAAGAAGAGGAAGAAGAAGAAAAAGGTAAAGATACAAATTATGAACAAATACACATCTATCAACAAGTGAATCTAAAAATCAAGTGAATAAATAATCTGATGAACAGTATGAACTGGTGATTGTAATAGAAACAGGGACATAGAAAGGGAATGGACTGACTATTCTTGGGGGGGAAAGGGATGTGGGGGATGCGGGAAGAGACTGGACAAAAATCGTGCACCTATGGATGAGGACAGTGGGTGGGGAGTGAGGGCGGAGGGTGGGTGGGAACTGGGAGGAGGGGAGTTATGGGGGGAAAAAAGAGGAACAAATGTGATAATCTGAAAAATAAAGATTTAATTTTAAAAAAAGAAGAAGACATAAATGCTTACCACATGTCTGAAACACAGGCCTTAAAAGAATATTAAAGATCAATAATTTGTTCTGAATAACTTTCAAGGTCTAATTTATTAATAATGTTATTCTGACTATTGGAAACTCAGGTAATCCTTCCAAGATTTTGTTTTTTTAGATGTCCTTTTTTTCCTGATCATAAAAGGAATATGTAAGTCTATATATAAAAGTCTAATATGCTAAGTGTCTGATGGAGTGATCGACAGAACGCTCAACCAGTTTCTATGATGCGCACTGACCACCAGGGGGCAGACGCTCCAACTGGTAGGTTAGCTTCCTGCTGGGGTCTGGCCAATGGGGACTGGGCAAGACTAGCCACACTCTGGAGTCCTCCCACGGTCCCCTCTCGACCGGCTAACCCCAATCACCCTGACGGGGACTGGGCGAGATGGTCCTGATTGGCTCCAAATGGGACTGGGTGAGACAGGCTGGACATGCCCTGGAGCCCTCCCGCAGTCCCTCCCTGGTCCCGATGGGCCCCAATTGGGACTGGGCAAGATGGGCCAGACACACACCTAATTAAGTTAATAACAATGTACCTACCTATATAGTTTAAGTTTAAAAAATTTGGCTCTCTTGCCCTAACTGGTTTGGCTCAGTGGATAGAGCGGCGGCCTGCGGAATGAAGGGTCCAGGGTTCGATTCCGGGCAAGGGCATGTACCTTGGTTGTGGGCACGTCCCCAGTGTGGAGTGTGCAGGAGGCAGCTGATGGATGTTTCTCTCTATCCCTCTCCCTTTCTCTCTGTAAAAAATCAATAAAATATATTTTTAAAAAAATTGGCTCTCAAAAGAAATTTCAATCGTTGTACTGTTGATACTTGGCTCTGTTGACTAATGAGTTTGCCGACCACTGGCCTAGGCTAGCCGCCACGGCTGCGAGGGCCGCGCCCCTTGCACAAACTTTGTGCATTGGGCCTCTAATCTATTATAATAAGCTTGAAAATACAAGAACAAATGAAGAAAATATCAAGCAGCCATATCCAAAAAAAGTCAAAGATAATATTGGTAATATTTTAGCATATTTTTAAATATAGATGTATATATTACTATATAGCTACAATATAAGCTTACATATTAAAATAATATTATATATACAATTTTATATCCTGCATTAGACCATGAGCATCTTCCTACTGAATTAAAATTATTTCCAAAACATAAAAAAAAAAAGATCAGAAGTTCCCAGTGGAGGGGTAGGATGGGGAAGTGGGGCTCACAGACCGCCTTCAGCTATGCAGATGCTTCGCAGGAACCGCATACATCTCTCCAGGACTCCTTGCCTCCACCTAGACTGAACCAAAGTAGGTCAGGTGCCCTCCGTCCTTACCTCCCACTGCTTTATTTCCCTGGCATTCGTTATCTCCTTTCGAAGTTTCTTGATCGTGAGCTCTTCAAGTGTTGTATTCACAGAAAGTGTCTGAAGAGCTGCGAGGTCTATCACGCGGCCAAACTTGCTGATCATCAGATCTCGGACTGTTTCTTCCATTTCTGAAAGAAGACAGTCATTACCAGGCTGTTCAACCGCTCCCATTGTTACCAAGTGAACAATACCAATAACAAGAACATCCTCAGGAAGGGCTTTCGTAAGATGGAAAAAGATTTTGTTACCAGTTGATTTTTCCTCTCTAACTTCTCAGCTGCTGCTCTCTTCACTTAAAATGCCCATTCCTGCATTATCTGTTCATCTACTTCAAAACCTTGTGTAAGCCCAGCTGGTGAGGGTCAACCTATGAACCAGGAGTTCCGGGTTCAACAGACTCATCTTCCCCACTGGCTTACGCAACCTGACCTGCCCCTCCTCAGACTGCTGATGGCCTCCAACTAGATTATAAACACGTCCATTTGTAAGTTTTTTATTATTGATCGCTATAGTATCAGTGTTAAGAACAGAGCAGGCGTTTAAGAAAAGTTTCCATCTTACTCCAAGTAAACATGAAAGTCTTGTGGTGTTTCACAGGCCCTGCATGGTCTACCCTCCCTGCCAGTGTTAGCTCTCCCACCTCCTTTCTCACACCTCGCTCTTGGTTTACTCCTTGGCATCTCAAATGTGCCTGGCCTGCTCCCATCTCGGTTCCCACAACCTGGAAGGCTGTTTCCCAAATAGCCACATGGTTCACTCATTCCAGCCCATTTTCTGAAAGCGAGCGGGAGACCCGTGGGAGACGTGTCCAATACATTCAGTTCCGAAGGTGTAACTAACAGCAGGTCCTGGTCCTCTGGCCGGGAAGAGCCACATCTTACCAGGCACGTCACCTTTGCAGAGAGCTCTTCCCATCCTCCTAGGGACCTCACGCTGGCTTTCCCAGTCCTTTTTAGTGTGTCTTTTTAACGACTATCTCCAACTGACCTGTAATATATTTCACTTGTGTTTGTTGTCTTTCTCCCAATGTGAGAATGCTGGAACACCTGGGCAAAATCCATCTGCGGGTTCTGAGCACCTCAAGAAAATGTAATCCTGTAAGGAGACCTTCTCAGTCACAGACCATCTTCAAGTGAAGTCTGAAGGCCCTGGGGTACAACGTGACACAGTTCTGTGGTGGTGCAGAAACTGTCTTCAGGTATCATTGTTATGGTTGAGTTGTCACAGGATAAGTGGCTAGGCTGCCATTAGGCACAAACCAGGGAGGGCTACTTGTTTCTATTCTGTGTGAGGAGGGACACCATCCATGTGTGTAATGCGGTGGCCATGACAACCGGTGATGCAAATGAAAGGGTTAAATTATTTGCCCAGTGTGGCTGGCCTATGGCTGCCCCTTGGCTCCCCTCCAGCTAGCCCCATCTGAGGGGGTAACCTCTCCCATGGCAATGAACTCTGGTCCTTGCCATCCCCCTGTGGAGCCAACCTAATGCCCTTTTGACTCCATCAGACCAGCTAATTTTCACTGGGGACATCAAGGCTTCTGGAACATGCCACCCACCTTCCCCATGTCTGTGAGCTCTGCCCTTCTTGGAATGGAGGAAACGTAACCCTTCCAGCACCATGCCCTAGACCAGTGATGGCGAACCTATGACACGCGTGTCAGAGGTGACACGCGAACTCATTTTTTTGGTTGATTTTTCTTTGTTAAATGGCATTTAAATATATAAAATAAATATCAAAAATATAAGTCTTTGTTTTACTATGGTTGCAAATATCAAAAAATTTCTATATGTGACACGGCACCAGAGTTAAGTTAGGGTTTTCAAAATGCTGACACGCCGAG